ATCTCGCACGTCATTGACGCGCAGGGCGCGTCTCCCAACGAACTGATGACTATTCGTCGGGCTGCCGCGCGTGCAGGAGGGATTAGTAAACGCGGGTGTAATATAGATCTGACGTGGGCCCTCAGCCCTAAGGATGACCCCATCAAGATCGCCAGTGCGCCTTTGAAACGGTATGCTCGGGAGCGGCGGCAGTCTTCGGAACCGTCTCCCCGCGGGCCCAGGCGCCATTCGGATGCAATGGGTGCTGGCGCCCTCAGTAGGATTTTTTGGTCTTGCGAATTTCAGTTCAAGGGTTCCTCGGGCAAACCGGCCATGCTTCCCTGGCTGGAAGCTGGAGGGTGGCCCTGGGAAGGTTTCGCAATTTTCAGGTCCGCTCAGGGCAAGCGTTGATTGTTAACGGAGTCCCCGCCCCAGCAAATTGCCGACGCTGTCTCGGCCGATTTGGCGCCCAGGTTTCTGCGCACATAGGTGGCTAAAGTTTTAGCTTGCGCACCCGGCCCTGGCGCCCAGGCGAGGGGCCCACGGCCCCCTGCCTTGGCGAGGGTTGCAAAAGGCCTCGAGCGAGGTGCAGGTCATTTGTTCCGACGGGTCCTGTCAGGGGCCCTGCCCGCATGAGATTTCCTGAAGGTCTGGGGCTACGATGTGGACCCAGTCTGTCTGGTGTGCAAGGCCCGGCCTGACGCGGCCTGGCGCCGCATGCGGTGCGGCCAGAGTCAGGGGGCTGTCCGCAGGAGGGATGGGGCATTTCGGTGGCAATTTCCTGCGCCAGGTGCAGGCGGCAGGCCCATCTTGTTTGTTGTTTAGTAGACTCTGGCCTGCCTTCCCTGACCCCCCCCCCGCGAGGATTGGACTTTGAAATATGTTGGCCCTGGCGGGCAAGGGGTTGCGACACTCAACTTCAGGTCGGATGAGGCAATCTTCTCCGATGGGCCCTGCTCTCCAGGAGAGCGGGCCGAGATTTCAAGAACTGGTTTTGGCCTCGTCTCGATGTCTGACTCGGGCCAGAGGCTCCGAGGGATATAGCCCTCTACCGGAGCGTTTTGACCAGACCAGCGCTGACGCTGACCACGCTGGCCTCGCCATCTCTGTCATGCGCCGAGAACCCCCGGCTTCCGCCGCCCCCCCCCCCGAGCCTGTGAGGGTGGATTTTTCGGGATTCTTCTCGGGGGCCCCTCGTGGGCGCTCTCAGGGAGGTCTCGTTTTAGCTACTGGCAAGAAATCAGTCGCAGAGTTGGTGGTGAGTGCTGGCCGACCTTT